CCCCCCCCCCCCCCCCCCCCCCCAGTGAGCGCTCGGGTGCTCAGCGGTTCTTTTAACCGTATGTGTTTGTGTCCAGGCGGGGAGCATCTCCATCAAACCGCAGTCCACAGACGTTTTTGACATGGTGCCCTTCTCCCCGGTGACGTCGCTGGTTCCGACGAGGGCCAGCAACGGCTGCCCCCCTCCCCCACCCACCAGCTTACCCCCCGATATAAGTGAGCGTACGACTCGGCGCTCTCAGGTTATATTTTTTATTTTTGTGGTTAGAAGGTGTTGATTCTGTTTTCTCCTGCAGGGAAAGATTTGTTCGGCGCCGAGCCGTTTGACCCGTTCACCTGCGGGGCGGCTGACTTCCCCCCGGATATTCAGTCGAAGCTGGATGAGATGCAGGTGAGTCCTGCCTGGTTGGGGGTGGGGGGGTTGAACTGTAAAACTTTTTCTTTTTTTTAACAGAATCACCACTTTAAAGATTTAAACATCTGCTTTTATGACGAAGTCCTTGTCAAAATGAATTTCTGATCTTTAATTTGTTGTGTCTGAAAACTGGTTTAAATCAGGGGTGCCCCCAGAAAATATTTAAAGAGGGGCCCAGATGGGGGCCCATGGTAAACTTGAGATTGAACACCAAAACTAAAAGTCAGAACAGAAGTTTAGGAGATTTGTTGTTGTCATTTATGAGTTATTTAAAACTATATATCGTTACAGGAGAAACTTCCTCTGATCTACACAGGTCTACTTTATTTTTTATTGTTTATTGTTGATGTTGTTTTTGAAAACAGAGCTGTCACTTCTCAAACTACTGAAGCTTGTGCAGGCCTAAGTTTAAATTCATATAAAAAATATTATGCATTTACCCTCCTCAGCCCTTGACTTTTGTTAAGGAAGATTTCTGCATCTCAAACATGTATTCTGTTCAACTTAGACCTACATTTGTTTTATTTTAGTTTTTAAATAAAATATACATTTCTATTTTTAACTTATATTGTTACTAAACAATGTTTTAATGTTTGTGAGGCTCTACTACAGTAGTCCCTCGTTTATCGTGGGGGATCCATACCCTGAAGCCCCGAGATAAGTTAAAAACCATAAAGTAGGGATAGTAGTACAAGTAGTATGTAGTAGTTTATTTTAGTATACATATATATATATATATATATATATATATATATATATATATATATATATATATATATATAAAGGCATTTTAAACCCTTCCCACACTATTGTAAAATTCTAAACAATATTTCTAAACTCTAAACGCTGTAAAAGAGCACAGTATGTCATGATTCCCCTCTCCCCGCCTCATCTGCCCTCAGCCACCTGCAAGCGTTCTTGGCCACGCCCACTTCTCTGCTCTGTATGGAGAGCAGCTGATCAGCTGCAGGAGGAAGTTTTTTTTCTGCAGCTCTGGGTTGCACAAATGTGCAGCAGGTGCTAAATAATTTAAAATAATTTATTTTAAATAAAAATTCCATGCCGACCGTGCGGCTCATCCATCAACTGTGTGTCATGTCCAATCTTATTTTGAAAAACCGCAATACATCGAGTCTGTGATAAACGAACCGCGATGTAGTGAGGGACTACTGTAATCCTAAAAAGCTTGGAAAATTTACAAAGTCACATTAAACAAACGCTCAGGGCTCAGGAGATAAGACTGTCTGGCTAAGGGGGGCCAGTGGGCGGGACAACAATAATTTAGGCGTGGCCGTTGCCTCCCCTGGCCCCCCTCGTTAGTGGCACCCCTGGATTTTAGTATATCAAAAAGCTAAAAACATCCAAACTGGCTAATGCTGTGAGTCTGGTTCTTTGCAGAAACAGAAGTTTTACCTTCGCGTTTGAGAAAAGTTTCAATTTAATTTTTTTAAGTACAAAACTACAAAAAAAAAGTGTTTTTATACACATGCCTCTACATTTTGCAGAAACATTTGAATAACTTTAGTCTGACGCTGCAGGAGAGAGTTGATGGACGAGCTCAGAATGAAAAGTTTCACAAAACGTCCAGATTTATTTAAACACGGACATCTTTGGACTGAAAAGTTACATTTATAGGATTCATGTCAACGTTGGAGACGATGCAGTTTGATGGACGTCTTCCTCTGTGAGCTGAGGCGACGTCGCTCTCTTCCTTTAGCCACTAACAGCTGATTGTGTCTCTTTTGTCGTCCTCTCTCAGCGTCAGAGATGGTTTGTACTCTTTGTTTCTCCCTGTGCAGTTCTGCATGTTTTACCCGAACACGTCTTCACTGCGCTCGTGTGGCGTCTCGACTCTGCGCGCAGCTTCTTCTTGTAACGAACGCACATCGTGGCTTTTTGACTGGTGTGTTGTAAAATGGTTGTTCTGTTTGTTCATACTTCATGTGTGCTGTTGCCATCAAAACCATTCTGAAGGCATGAACTGTTGCGGATCATTTTAAGCATAAAAGTGTGATTTTGTTTATTTATTTGTTTATTTTCTGCTGTGCATGAGTTTCCTCGTGATTTGTCCACAAATCGTTTTATTTTTTTAAGTGGGTTTTTGTGACGTACAACCCTGTTTCTGACAAAGTGGGAATGTTGTGTAAAAAGTATTTTTTTCCTATTTTATTCACAATAGAAGATCATAAATGGATCAAAAGCTAAAACTAAAACTTTTTATTTTTATTTTTTGTTGTAAAAAATAAGATCATTCTGAATCTGCAACACATCTCCTTAAAGTTGTTCCAGGTCCAAGTTCCCTCTGTGGAGCTTCTTCTTTTAACATCGGTAAATGTGCAGGATCTGAGACCAGTTGGAGGTTCTGGAAGACCTGAGGGGACCAGTTGTTGGAGGTTTTAGAGCATATGTGTCAAACTCAAGGCCCGGGGGCCAAATGTGGCCCTCAATGACATCATATCTGGCCCCCAAGATGTTATTTTAAATATACAATACTTTAATTACTTTAATTTTTTTTCAGTAATATTTGATTATGATGTCAAAAGTACAACAGAGAACATCAAATGAGACCAATCAAATTCTTGTTGAGGAACCTGTGACCAAGAAAAGATGTCGGGTATTTAACTTGAGTTCATGTAGATTCTGAAATTGGCCCTTAGTTTGAAAAAGGTTTTAATTTTGGCCCCCTTTTGTAAGTGAGTTTGACACCCCTGTTTTAGAGGACCTGGGGAGACCAGTTGTTGGAGGTTTTAGAGGACCTGAGGAGACCAGTTGTTGGAGGTTCTGAAGGACCTGAAGAGACCAGTTGTTGGAGGTTCTGAAGGACCTGAGGAGACCAGTTGTT